TTCGTCACGTTAAAACAAATGCTACAGTAAAACAAACGTGACAAGATTGTCAAAGGTCAAGTAGTCAAGTAGCACAGTTGTCTCCATGTCGAGCATGCCCATTTTGCTGACGGGGCAAGTACTTCCGGCTGCAGAACCCGAGCTGATCGTATTCAGCTTGAAGGAGTTTATTCTCAATTTCGCTGTGCCCTTTTTTACGTCTGTTATATCCGGATGGGTGTGATGACAGTGGAGGCATGCGGGTTGTCGGAGCAGCCACTTTAATTCTCGGCCTGCGAAACACGGTTTGCAACTAAAAAGTCGCTTTGTTTATTTGGAGTCCTAAGTGTTATATAAAATTTAAGCCTAAGGCGTGCCGGTCGTGGATTGATTGTTTTTCGCGTGAGAATACCCAGCGGAAGAATCTCAAATTGCAGACCGGCCATTGATTGGGCCGTACGCGTGAGCAAAGGCGTCAGACCTGCTCGACGCTGCGCTGCACGCTGATTGGCTGTCGGATTTCGCGCGCCGTGCGTGGTCACGTCTTCCTTTCACCCTAGGTCGAGACGCCAGTCAGCTGATGTGAGTATCGGCAACGCGAGCTGACTTCTCATCTATTGCCTTTGTTCTTCACTGGGCGGCGTTGTCAGCTAGTTCGTCCTAGCTTGGCTGTTTCGTCTGGCTTACCTCGACTTGTTCTTAGCGTGGGGTCGCATTACCGACCGCCTTAACCCTCCAAAGTTCTTCCTCAGTTTGCTTATTTTTGCATTTTGCACAGGCGCAGATTGGCTGTGCGCGCCATTGATCAGCCTAGTGCCTAGTGGGTGGGGCCTATGAACAAATATATAGGACTATAACCTACTCAAGTAGCTATAGTAGGTATTCTGGGCAACAGATATTTGGGTGCCATCTCCCGATTGTTACCTATTTAAGATCCGGACTCATTTCTCTGCCAGCTCTTGTGCCGTAATCTCGCTCTCTTGGCCAAGCGGGTTGCGTAGCCGCATGCGTACGTCAGCTCCCTCCGGCAAAGTTAATGAATTAATGAAAAGAGAATTCTTTATCTGCCAGCTAATGGCCTGTTCTAGATCAGCCAGATGGTACGCGTCAGTTGGCCATCCAGGTCAACATAGTTTTCATGAGGCTGCCTCTAACTTGAATTAGTCAAAAGTCGGTGGAATAGCGACCTTGGAAAAGTGATAGCCCTCAGGTTTTTAACGCTACCTTCAAACGAGATGTCCAGCGATCTCTTTTGTAAAACGAACTTTACGTACCGCCTATGTTCGCGTTGGCCTAGCTTTCAAAACAGAACTTTACCTACTCCAATTTTGAGCCACGCTCTCCAAATAGCACTACGTATTTTCAGTTTCACACTTCAGAATTGATGCGGCCATCGCGATCGGATGTGAAATCTGTGATTCGGTCTTTGAGCTTGCCGGGAGTGTAGTGACCAACATCACAAAGATTACCTAATCAGAAGCCGGGAGAGACGGATAGCGTTGGACAACCTCTACTGCTGATGAAGTGTATACAAGAGACTTTGCAAACAACTGCCGCAAGTTGTCTCCCCATGTAAGCTGCGTCGTCTGTGTCCGCCGTGGAGGGGATCAACCCCCAGCGCGCGTGTGCACTCTCATTCCGTCTCAGGTAGTTCCGGTCAGCCCATCAGGGAAGGGGCAATGTTGGTTGGCTTCGAGCTCTCGTGAGACGAGTGACAAGCCTCGCGCGATCCCAGCAGCGAGTCGATAGGGACCTTAAGGCGGATAGAAAGACAGCATGACAAAGCGGCGGGGAGCAAGAAGCGCGGGATGCCACAAGCTTTTTTCATTTGTTCTTGTCCTCCGGTGTCAAACTTCTTTCCAAGCAATGTCGCTATACTGGCTCTTAACGCATCTAGGTTCTGCTGCACTATTTTGCCGTTAAACTAATCCGGACATCTGCGTCGCCAGTCTTTATATCCCGATAAGTGTGATGAAAGGGAAGACGAGCGGGTTTTGGGAGCAGCTACTTTGCTAACAAGCCCCATTTGTGGCTTGTTCGCTGAATTTTTTTTCAGGACGTCTCCAAGAGAAATACGTTGAGTGCGTACTTCGACATAACCTGGCGCCGTGGGTGGTTTATCGACTTCTGCCAGGGAAGCCCTTCTGTCATGTCCAACAGAGTTGGTGTGAGAAAGCTGCCCTGGCTGATACCATTAGGTATATTAACTGAGTCGTTGTTCACAGCAGCTTTAGTTCTTGATCACAAATCGTGGACTTTTACTAACGGGTGCAACCTCGTCGGCATTTCATGTCTGTACTCTACATGGACGAAGTCGAATCTGACAGAAGATTTTATTGAATGAAAGATAATGGTTACTGCGAATCGTGGGGTTAGTCGAGAATTTATGGGTGAGAGTGCTTCCCCTGACAGGCAAATGCCGCGACAGCAGCGAACTGGAATGGGGGGGGAGAAATTTCTTTGTCTTCATACGACATCGAAGTATAGTCGCTACTTTATTTGCCCTCAGACTGTAATAAATTCCCGCCGTGACTGATGTGGGCGACGGTGAAGACTCAAGTGGCACCTATAAGGACGCCGATACCAGTGTAAACTGCGCGTTTTATAAAGACTGACGCAACGACATAAACACTTCAATCCGTGGGTGGATTTTGCAAAGTTTCTGCCAGAAGGTCTTCGTAGTTTTCAACTAATATCGCCAAATGCGACTTGCAGATTTTCATTGGTAAGCAGTTTTGTTTATCCCGTTGTGACTCTGTACTTTTGGCTGCATGAAGGGTTTCCGTCAATGGCAAATTTGCTTACCAGGTTCCGGAAGTCCGCCGACACTTTATCTCTTACAAATGTCATAACCGCTCTACCTCAATTTTCTGTGATCATCAGAACTAACAGATCATTGCTCAGACCTCTTCGTATCAACAGCGGCTAGGGCGCGTTCGAGTTCTCCGACATTCATTGTCATAATGTGCTAAATACGTCGTCCCACAGTGTAAGCACTTTTATTCCAGGTCATCACGACTGCCACGTCCCTTTCACTACCAGAAAGTTGTGCCCGAGGTCTAGTCCCTATCGTTACGCCTGCTGTGGCCTAATACTTCTTAACAGGCACTGTGTGGAACATAGTACATTTGGACCCGGGTGAGGATTTAAGCTGGTACAATTAAACGGTTTTACAGAGCCGGACTGTTGTATGTTTCAGTGGTGAAATCACTGATTTTGTCGACAAAGTTCTTTTTCACAGACCTTGGTCTGGTCTCCTTCTCGATCTCTCCTGGCCCGCTGTCTCACTTCTCAAATGCTGTAGATTTTAAGGTCTAGCCATAATACTGGTCTGAGTCTATAGACCTTAAATATACTGATCTACTTCAAGTTCGCAGTTAATTTCTAAGGGAATTAAAAAGCAAGGATTTCTACATAAGGGTATCTACCAGACAGCAGACAACGAATGCTGGGAGACCCAGTGATGCGCCAAACCCCTCGCAGCTGCGTCATGCAGCGGCAGAATATCGGCGAAACACTCGTGTATGGGCTTTTTGGCTACTACCGTGTTGTTGGTATGGAATCACCTTACCCTAAAACATCCGTTTCTGTTTGTACATTGTAGTCCTTCCTCACTGGGGCTTGGAGGTTAAAGGTATCTCCCGTTGGTCTCGCCACCAAATCAAAAACCAGGAGCATTGTGGACTTAAAATGCCTGCTTTCGGATTGCATGGGCTCCTTGGTAAGCTTCAGAGGTAAATTTGACTATTGGGTAAATTTGTTCGTCTGCAGCTTCAAAGACTCTGGAACGCGCATTCAATTTCGACATCCGCAGTTTTTGGTCTGTGACGCCGATCATTGACTGAGACCATGTGTGTGTGCATATGAAGAGAAGCCTACTCGTCATTGAATGTCTGGTTAACTCCGGCTTCGTGTGTTATGAATGATTTGACGAGGTTCTCGAACTAAGTGGATCCTACCATGCTTACGATGGACTTGGGGTGCAGGGGTTTCCAGTTGTGGGTCCGCGTGCTGGTCGCAGTAGGTCAGTCACTGGCCGACGGGTGTTGACTGCGTCTAGCGGCCAATAACTGGCACCCAACTCTCATATGTGGCTACTCGAAGCTAGGCTCCGGCTAGAGATCACATCCCGGTAACCGCTTCGACCGGCGGGCCAAACCAGGTGAGGGTATCCGTGTGTGCATCTCCACAGACGGCAATTGTGTCCCTCTTTACTCCTCGGTACCTTCTCTCCGCACTCCCCCTCCGTTCTTCACTCCCTCTCTTACTTCTACTCTAATCTACCGTTTTACACTATGGTCGGAATTCCCACGATGAGAAAGACAAAAATCATGTGGGCGGACGAGGTCATCGGTCGTCCTCCCGCTAAATCCCGTGGTCCGTAGTAGGAAGCGGTAGCTGTCTGGTGCGTATAAGCAGCCCTGTTTAGGGAAAGCACTGGTTACCTTCGCGGGGACGAGGAGGGTGCTATAAAGGATGCCCTAAACAAATCTGGGTTCATAAAATCTGCGCGCAGACCGTGGCTAGCGGGATGCAACACATGCAGTCGAGGCCGGAAAAAACAAGAAACAACGAAATCTATCTTCAACTTCTCCACCCCCCCCCACAACCCCACAGGCTGCTAGGGTGAGTTCGCTTACTCTGGTAGCCTGGAATGTTCGATCCTTTCTAGACAATTCGAGGAGCAACCAGCAGGGACAATGGATGGCGCCACTCGCTTGGGAACTGGCGCGCCATAAGGTGGACATCGCTGCACTCAGCAAGACCCAATTCTCCAAATAAGGCCAAGAGCGTGACTCGGGCGGCGTCTTTGCCATCCGCAACGACATCATGGAATGATTATCCTGTCTGTCGGAGGGCATCATAGACCGACTGATGAGCCTGCGCCCCCTTTTCAAGGATGCGACTTCGCCACCATCACCCACGCCGGCGCCTTATTGAGGACCAAATTCTACGGGGTCCTGCACGCCCTTCTGGCGACTGTGTCAAAGACGGATAAGTCGACTATCGGCGTCGGCACATTACATGCTGCCTGGAGAGGTGAGCTTGGTTCCCACGTTCTCGGCGTCTTCGATGACGGAGGCCTGTTCCTCCTTCGGACCCGCACAGAACAGCCCCTCATCGTGAGCAACAACTACTTCGGCCTTCCAACGCGGATGAAGGCCATCCGGATGCACCATTAATCGCGGCACTGGCAGTTGTTGGAATACGTTCTCATCGGTAGACAAGGTTGACAAGACGCGCTGATGACCAAGGCGATCTTAAAAGCCGATGTTAAGACGGACCACTGTTTCGTCATCTTTAAAATGAGGCTCCGTCTGCAAGCCCGCGGGAGGCCACGAGGTAGGCGACTACCAGGTGAGTTAAATGTCGCTTTGCCGCTTTTGCCTACCTACTGTTCGTATTTCAGCAATCGACAGACCCAGTGCTTGGAAGACTCTCAGGCTCCGCATGAAAACGACTCCGTGGGGACTCCATTGTGCCAACTGCCGGATGCCGTTTATCCGACCGTCCTGTGTGTCCTCGGCCGTACAAGTGAACACCTGGGCTAGCTAGACGAACACGACACAGCAATCAGCGACCTGCTTTCCGAGAAGAACAGGCTACATAGTGCCGGCCTTGACCGTCCAACCGGTGCAAACAGAACGGCCTTCTACCAGCATCGGCGCCCAGTGAAGCAGTGATTGTGAGAAATGAAAAACACCTGGATAGCTCACAAGGCTGAGGAGATTCAGGGGTATGACAACCGCAACAATACAACGATCTTTTTGCCGTTCCATTTCTCAACTCTAATGGATCAACATTCCCGATAGGGAAGTCGCAGGTTCTGAAGAGCTGGGCCGAGCACTTCAGGAGCGTCCTAAATCCTTCCTTCGCAATCCTCGAATCCGCGATCGACCGGCTCCGCCAAGTTGAAGTCACATCGACCTAGATTCCAGCCCTGGCTCCCAAGAATCCCCCGTATTGCGAAAGGACGCTCCAACGAGAAAGCACCAGGTTCCGATGAAATCTCGGCTGAAATCTACAAGCAGGACGGCCATCGACTGATGGACCAACTCACAGTGATCTTCCAGGAGATGTGGCGCAATGGATAAGTTCCCCATCATCCATATGTGTAAGTGCAAAGAAAACTGACAGCTCTGTGCCAACAACAGAGAATCTCGCGATGTAGCATCTTCCTCAACCCGTCAACGGTCATATAAAACAAGAGCTTCCACTAGAAAGTCACTGTGCATTCCGGTGACACTGTGCAACCACAGACATGATCTGTGCCGCTCGCCAGTTACAGAAGAAGTGCCAGGAAATGCGGATGCACTTCTACACCACCTTTGTTAACTTGACGAAGGCCTTTGATTCGGTTAATCGCAAGGGACTGTAGAAAGTCGTGCAAAAATACGGCTATCCCGAACGCTTCACACACATTGTACGTTTGCTCCACGACGGAATGTTGGCGCGCGTAACGGACAACGGCGCAATCGCAGAGGCATTCGCAGCGACCAGTGGATTGAAACAGGGTTGGGTACTCGCGCCCACCTTCTTCAGTCTGATGTTCTCTGCCATGATTATGGACGCCTATCGTGATGAGTGCCATGAGATACGCATTATCTCAACAGCAGGCACATGCAGGCCCCAAAGACTAGGGTCCGCTATTTGCCTTAAGCTGACGACTGCCCACACAGTACTACGACCGCACACCGCAGTATCTATTTACCTAGCATACTTTACACGAGCACCATCTCAGCCCAGTCAATCTCCAACCGTCCTGTGCGCGCACCACAAACGACAGCACCATCATCAGCATCTCCGAGGACACCCATACCAATTGAAGACGAAACATGCCAGACTCGATTTGCGGGTCAAATTCTTCTCCCACCGGCTGGTTGAGGGATGGAACAAATTGCCGCACTCCGTTGTCTTAGCGAAAAACGTCGAGGCTTTCAAAATAAGACTAGATAAATTTATGCTTGATGGTCAAACATTTACATGATATCAATGACTGGCATAACTGCCATGTAAATGTCTGCATGTTTTTTTCATACGTCTGTCTGTAAATAGGGTTTTCCAAGGCTCTGCCTCTATCCCTCATATATACTTAATTATACTGAATCATCGTCATCACCACCGAAGACGACCCTGCAGATCCCAGTTTATCCTGTCCACGCAGTCGACGCATGTTCGCTTCACACATCGGCCTGATTGGTCACGTGCGATTCCACCTACCAGAGACTGGCGAGCTAATGCCTGGAATACCAACACACATTTGCCTTCATTGGCCTCGCACAGTCAGTCACTGAACGGCCTCTTCTGCCTCATGCTCATTCACTGGAACCTGCGGTAGATCACCGCCGGCCATACCACCATCACACCTCCTCGCGAGCATCCACAACGCACTCCAACAACACCCATCATCGCACAACGCAAGCACACAATTGGTACCTCTATGTAAAAGGGCAGTGTTTCTCTCGGCTCCTCCATGTAGCTCCTCTACTGAATGTGTGATCCGGAGCTAAGGCTATTACGCTGTGCCAAGCGCCGTGGTTTGGAAGGTTGCCGACTGAAGGGATAACGTGGATTCCGCGGTCAGCCCAGCGTGTGTTGGGTGGGGTTGCAGACAGGTGCTCTGAAAGATAGACTGGCGACAGACCTAGGGGCGGCTCGGTCGCGCCAGCCGCATGCGCTCTCCCCAACCTCCGCTATTCTTGACCATGCCCTGTCATCGAGCCCAGGTGGTGGAGGAGAGAGTCTGGTAGATGCTGCACAATTCAACTACTACTACAAAGGCAATCGTGCGCATGTCACCAACTCTGCTCTCAGCCTTCTGTGGAGCCCGCAATGGACGTCGTCAAAGTCGATGGTCGGATTGCCATGCCACTATGTACTTAGGACGCCAAACAACATCTCATGATATAAATTTATGTGGAGCTAATTCAGTCTTCGCAGAGACGGGCAGAATGTGCCAGAAAACTGGGAACTATGAGGTAATGCCTTACACAATAGTTGAGAATACAGACGCATTTGTCGTAAGTACGGCCGAATTTTCTCGTCGGATTCTGGGCCGAGAGAGCATTACGTCACTCATTTCGTTGTTTACTGGGTCTGGAGAGAAAACCCCTGCTGAACTTACATTTCATTTGACTTCACATCCCAAAAATCCCTCAAGCCTCGACTGTTGGCCCACAAATTTTTCCACCGCCAGATCTGAATTTCCTAGTGTCTCAAATGACTGAATATAAAGAATGCTCACCCATGTTCCTAAAATGTCAGACAGTAACTGACGATAAATTAAGGTACCATCGGTCTCATTAGTGCGTATATTATATCATGACTTGTTTTTGTTCAGTTCAGTTTATTGACGGAAATAGGCGTAAGTCTTTGAGTACCCTATTTGCAACGTAAAAAATGTGTGGTGTACAAATAGATGTTCTGGGCTAAAATAGTTCGAACACGCCCATAATGGTGGGACAAAATGAGAAGTAGTTACAGGGGGTGAGCTCGACTTCTCATCGTTCTTGGTCATTTCGGAACATAAATATGTCCAGATTCTTCTTAAAACTTTGTATAGATGGTGAAATCACAACATCTGCGGGAAGCTCATTCCATGGTTTGACCACCCGAACCGAGAAGGAGAACTTCCGCACATCCAGCCGCGCCTGCTGAGTGCGCAGTTTTAACGGGTAACCTCGGAGGTTGGTCGTGGTAGCAAATTCAAAAAGTCCTCGAAGGCCAGACTGCAATCCAACCCCTTTACAATGCGGTAGGCTTGGAAGAGATCTCCGCGAAGTTGCCTGTAACTCAAAGGAAAGAGGTTCAGATTTACTAGGCTGGATGCATAAGGAAAGGAGCTTTGACCCCTAACCATCTTCGTGGCTCTCCTCTGGACTCTTTCGAGGCAGTTTTGATCCACAACACCCCACGGCCTCCAAGCTTGTATGCCGTACTCTAAATGCGGCCGGACGAATGTTCCGAATGTCTTAGAGAAGGCTTATTCGTCAAAGTCCATAAACGCACGCTTGATGGCGTACAGTACGGACATTGCGCTTTTTGCCACCCTCGAACAGTGGGCGGATGGCTTTAGGGAACTCGCCGTAAGCACACCGAGGTCCTTTTGGGCTTCGACCTCTTGTAGGGCTGCACCGCCCAGAAAGTAGCCTCTTGTGCTGGCGGATCTGGCTGTATTGCCTAGACGAAGTATGCTACATTTGGCAACGTTGGACCGCAGGAGCCAACGGTTTGACCACTCCTCCAACCGATTCAGGTTCATCTGCAGTCTGTCTTCGTCGGCAGGACCCCGAATTACACTCCATATCTTCACGTCATCCGCAAACATTGCTACTTCACAGTCTAAATCTCTTGCGGCATCGTCCACGTAGATAAGGAACAATATGGGTCCCAGTACTGAACCCTGGGGGACACCACTATCGACCATAGCCGGATCTGATTTTCCCCGACCGACGCACACAACCTGGTGTCGACCCACAAGGAAGTTTTCGATCCATTTAAGGAAGTTGCCACCGATCCCTATTTTTTTCAGCTTATGTAAGAGCCTTTGGTTTGGCACAGTGTCGAAAGCCTTTTGGAAGTCGATGAAGGCTATGTGGACCGCGTGCCTGTCGTCGAGAGCTCGGGTCCAGCTCTGGAGAGATTGCAGCAGGTTTGTCTTGCAGGATCTTCCTTTTCGGAACCGATGTTGGCATCTCGATAGCAGGCCGTGAATTTCCAGGAATTGCATCAGTTCACTCTTTATGATCCTTTCCATAACTTTGCAGAGAATGCATGTCAAGCTTATGGGCCGGTAATTTGTCGTCGCTGCCCTGTTACCTCCTTTGTGTAGCGGAATAATATGCGCCAGCTTCCAATCCATAGGAAGTGTTCCAGTGTCAAATGACGTTTGAAAGAGCATCGACAAAGGCACAGAGAGCTCACTGGCAAGTTCCTTCAGAAGCTTGGGTGGAATCTCGTCTGGTCCTGGCGACTTCGATTCGTTCAATGCCTCTAATTCTCTTCGGACAATGCCTTCTGAGAAGAGTATATCACTGACGCTTGGAGTCGGCAGATCTTCTGTGGAGGGAGGAAGGAAGCTGGTCTCGTTTGTGTAGACTGATTGGAAAAACCGCGAAAAATACGCAGATTTATCTCTACTAGCAGCGATTTCAACGCCATCAGTAGTTTTTATCAAGGGGATTTGATGCCTGTTACTTGTAGTTCGTCGGAGGTAGCTGTAAAGCAATTTTGGGTTCTGCGTTGCTTTTTGTAGCAAGTCCTTCTCGAATTCCCGCCGCGTCTGCATTATCAGCTTCCTCAGTTTGTTCCTCTGTGTCTTGTATGTGTTGAATCATTCAGCTTGTCTAGTGACGCAGTATTTTCTCCACAATTTGTCTTCCTGTTGATTTCTTTCTTGAGGTTGCTATTTAGCCACCCAGGGCGTTTGTTCAGTCTTACACTAGTCAGTGGGCAGTGGTTGTTGATGAGCTGCAGAAGGACATTCTTGAACAGCTCCCAGTCATCTTTGGCACTTCCGGTAAACAATGGGCCCCAGTCAAGACCAGATGTGTCTGCCCTCATCTGATTGAAGTCGCCCCGCCCAAAAGATCTAACCGTTAGTCAATCTTAAAATATGATTAAATCCCACACAATTGTCAGTCCCAGGTGGCATTAAAAAGTTAAAAGTGTCCTGTAAAGTCCACCTACGGCATCTGTTTCTACTACTGGCTGTATGATTATAAGAGATTGTTTCCCTATTGTACGACAAATAATATTATTGATTCATTTCGATTCAGTTCAGTCCAGCATATTTGAGCATATTTTGATTCGCCCATTTAAGCCTCTCTATATGAAGTCATCGGAAATTTTTTCAAATATCGGATAAGTGACTACCTTATAAGTAAAAAAGGAGACATCAAATACCTAACGGATAGACGATTGATAGCGAGTGTTAGCAGTGCTGTTAGTCACACATGCAGTACTTGGTGTATAGCGTAGTAATCTGTCTGTAGTGGGCCGGCTCCGAGCGGTTCGGCCTCTCGCCAGTGTCTGCACGTGCGTTTCGTGGCCAGTTGAAATTAGCCCACACGGCTATCCAGCCGACCAGTCAGATTCAAGGTCGAGTCGGACACGACCTGTCTGGAGACGCTTTGACGCATTCTCTGAAGGACGCTTTGTAAGGCACTCACCCGACGCCGAATTTGGCCGGTGCACTCGTCCGGCCGTCAAATCTCCTCAACTTCCTCTGCAGTTATTCTGCACAGAATATGTGATCCTCCTTGCTGGTGACCGCCTCCTCTTTCTGTTCGCTACCGAGTCTAAAGGACGTAGTAGCCAGATTCTCATGCACGGCATAGGCTATTGCGAAATGCTCAAGCACAAGTACGCTGCAGAAAAAGTTGAGCAATGGGAATTTTCTTCAGGCTTCAAAACAAGTGTCGGTAAACGAGGAAAAGATTAAGAGAAAACGATTATATTTTACAGAAATAATGCTGAAATACACACAGGAGCGTTTGAGTAGTAATTAATAACTGCACACGGCGCAAAAGATGACGTCGGACAGTTGGCAGTGTCCACCTCAGGAAGCTGTTCATCAGAACTTCCTATGGGTTTGCAAGAAGCGAAGTGGCATCTCAACTGCTCTTTAATAATTGTGTCTCTCATCTGTCGTAGGTATTTACAGACGACTGAATTCTGTTCGCAGGAAATACAAATTTTGAAGCTTACGTAGTCTCACAGCCCGAGCGGTTAGGACGTTGGCTGTACTCGAACCGAGGCCTCTGTCTTTTCTCTTACTGGGTCAAATGAATTGTTCAAATATGCAAGACTGACAAACTTTAAATACATCAAAGTCGTTGGTTTTGTCGCTTGTTCTGAACAGGTTGTGGCTTTTGGTTGTAGTCCTGTCATGTCGGCGTTGAATGAGACTTTATCCGAATTTGAAGAACAGTTGCGCTTGCAAGCTGCAGCAGAGAGCGCCCCTTCTCAGCCAGTAAAAAAGACACGTGTTGATGATGATGGCTCAGTCATGGAATGGGATGAGCAGCGGAAAGGCTGGTTTCCCAAGGCATGTCGGCATGATTTATGATTACTTACTAAAATGTTTATATGGTAGTGCAGTTTCTCTTATCACATGTTTCAGTCTCGGTTTTAATGTCTGGACCTAAAGCCCCATTAGTTGGCATTTTTATTGCCCCATTTGCTATTTCGCGTTGACGGTTCTGCAAACCTCCGTCTAGCTCCGCACTAGCAGCTCAGATTGCCCGGCATGTATGCGGATGGTGATCTTATTGGCTGTTTGCAACTCCAGAGTAGCCTTTGACACCATTGACGTTAATTACATGAAGGGACTGCCGGGCGGACTGTTCCTGTAAAGACCCCTGACAAGAGTCAGGCCAAAGTCGGACCATGGGGGCTAGTCCTGGGCGAGTGTGACGTTATTAAGGACCTTGGCCTCGGTTCTGATTACACAATCGGAACCTTTTTCATCGAGAGCTCCATCTCTTTAATTTATATTGCTGCTTTTTGTTGTCACACAATAGAGGCATCGAATAGTATCCAGTTCAATATGCATAGATGATTGAATCGAAGGTTGTTTCTGACCGAGGAAGAGCATATTTGGAAACTCTTCTTAGGAATAACGGTACTGAGGATTACATCGACGTTGTCAAGGCCCGGTGTGACCACCGTCTTATGGATTCTACGCTTTCGGATAGTGGTTCGCACGCAGGCCTGTTCGAGATCCACCAGTTTTCGTTCATCCACAAAAGCAACTCGATATCTGAATCCGTACATGTGACATTTTCGACATAGTTCGTACAGGTGGGTGCAATGATTCTGCAGCTCGCCTCTTGTCCACCTTCGAAGATTAACGATGCTTCGAGCCCTCCTCCTCTCCTCCCCACCATTTTTTCTTAATTTCGAAAGTCCCTATCATCATTTCGCTGTACGTATGCGAAAAAATTGATCCTTGTATGTTTTAACCTGTGGATTTCGCAGTGGAGCCCTTTTTCCTTAGCCGCATTGCCTTATGAATAAACCAGCAACATCCTCGTTTAGTCAACGCACTTCACTGTAAATCCTTACAGCCTAACGCTAGATAGACGATGTCGTGAACTGACACATTGGTGGATCTGTTAACGATATTTCCAGTCATCGTACGAATAGGGTGCAATGGGTCCGTTGCATACCTCATTAGTAAATCGTCCTGTTTCATGTCACTGTTGGGAGGCTCTAACTGCTGGTGATCTTCTCTGGACAATTTTGCATCGACCCTATTTTAAAGAAAGAAGTCATAAGTAGCTTGAACTGATCTACTTATTGTGGTAACAACGTTTGTTGTCAGGGCAAGCCAGCCCTGGTAAAATAAAACCTTTTTAAGTGGCCGGCAACAACAACCCTACATTAACCTACCATTGCTACCCTCGTGTATTTCATCGGCATTTCAGGTTATTGCCTGAAAGCGGCACTGTATAGCCCATGACTGCTCGTTCTTATACTCCTCGTATGCCTTATTGTAAGTTGTCCCAACCATGTGAAGAACGGGGTAGCGTTTCTTTACCTGTCGACTAGGGGAGACCGAGAGTCTATCAGGACTGTAGCAAATGAAGTTGGATGCAAGACTTTTGGAAAATGCTGTTCAATACAGCACGTAAATCAGTTTAATTCTGGCCAAAGTAAGCACATTATCTCCCATTATGGGTAAACGTTGGTCACAAACTCAAGAAAGCAGACGCTCCCACGCGCAACATGTGGGACGAGGATAGTTTATGTGCATTCGGGGGGGTTTGCATGGAAGAACATTGAAGACAGTGGACCTGGACTTGCCGTTTCCGGTAGAGTCACTATTGTCCGGTTGCTGATCAAGCTTAACTCGCCAATGTTCTTTATTCTTCTATATAGTATTCTCCATCAACTAAGTTGGTATACCTTTTACAGGAGATTGCTGTGGTGGATTAGGTAGCCAAAATATCATAGTCTTCCCAATTAACTGCTATAGGGTTGGGCGGTGGACTAGCCTTGCGTGTTTAATCTTCGCACCTGCAAACGCACCTATAATCAGACTTGTACGTCAGGTACGCCTGAACGCCGCAACAATGCCACTTTAAAGCAAACTGAATGGCGATATCAGTAAGCATCACAAGTAGATAATTTTGGCACTCGAAGTAGCATTTGTCTGGTTCTGCAGTGCATCATCAGGCACATGCAGAGAGCAACAAAATTCACGAAAATGTGAAAACCAAGCAATTTTTCCCTGCACTAATACGAATGGCTGCACACAACCTAGCCCCTTTATTGGCATCCCATCCTTGAAAGGACGCCTAGTCGGAGACGAGGAAAGGATTAATCAGAACCGAACCCTCCACTGTCACATTGGCAGCCGGAAAACGTCCGACTGAACTAAGGTCATGGCAAATGCAAGCCTCCGGTGGTGATTGAACGCCG